CAGGCATAGACCGTTCGCATTCTTTCCTATTCAAATCGTTCAGCTGTGGCACCCTTTCGGTGCCTAGCTGCCATGCCACCCGAAGGTTGCACGAGGGCTGGGATACTGCTAGGTTGCCCAAGCCTAGACAGGGGAAGTCGGGGGGCAGAGGTCGGGTTCGAACCATGGACCCGATGGTCAGTAAATTCACGCTTTAACCACTTGGGCCATCTCGCCGCTCCGCTAAGATTCTTGAAAAAAACGATTTGGTACCGTAACCACTCAAGAAACGGTGCATTCAGAATGGAGCACCTCAACAACTATCACAGTTTAAGGGGTTAGACAGACACTGTTCGGAAGCGTCGTGGTAAAAAAACGATTTGGTACCGTAAACACTCAAGAAACGGTGCATTCAGAATGGAGCACCTCAACAACTATCACAGTTTAAGGGGTTAGACAGACACTGTTCGGAAGGCGTCGTGGTTTTAGCCTGGTAGCTGCGGCATCCAAAGCACCCTCCTTTCTTACCTTTTCCAAGTTCTCTGAACAGAGGAAGAGAAAGCTATGTGGAAATCAAGCTCATTTTCGTCTTGCGAGATAGTATATAACTTATATATTTACTCACGGTCGCCAACCAACATTGTTTGCGACCCTTGACTTGAAATTTACCTCAGACTCTGTTGGTCGTCCTAATCTATGATGGTGCCCGGTTAGGTGTCTCTCATGAATCAGTGACCCTCCTTAACGCTTTGTACGCCACGGTCGCGCTAATGTGTTTGGTAAGCCCTTGTCTGAGTTCACTACTTCCAGTGGTGCCGAGCAACCCCGCCCTCCATCCCGTCCTCTCTTCGACTTTCCCATCGATATCATGGTGGAACCCTATCACTCGGTTCTCCCCCCATCCACTTGTATTCCAGTATTCACAATAATGCTTTCAAATAAATTATATTTGTACGGCAGTGAACCGTCAGTGCTGAGCACTAATGTGCTCTCGATGGTGACGGTCATGTGTAGGGTAGGTTCATTGCCAGTCGCTGACGTCCGTAGTCAAAATGCTTCCTGGGCGTCTTTTCGTAGACATGAGTATGCGGGCGATATAGCTCTTGTCGGATCTGATCTCATCGAAGCGTAAACAGTATTAGAAAAATAAGCAAGAAAATGTGCTGCACCCTTTGATGTACGCTTCACCCGTGCAAAATTTCAACTGCAGAGTGTTGTTTCACTTCTCATCATCACCATCTAGGTTCATTGCCAGTCGCTGACGTCCGTAGTCAAAATGCTTCCTGGGCGTCTTTTCGTAGACATGAGTATGCGGGCGATATAGCTCTTGTCGGATCTGATCTCATCGAAGCGTAAACAGTATTAGAAAAATAAGCAAGAAAATGTGCTGCACCCTTTGATGTACGCTTCACCCGTGCAAAATTTCAACTGCAGAGTGTTGTTTCACTTCTCATCATCACCATCCTCGACAGCATAACATCAGTGTTCAACATTGATGCTTCACTGCTGGGTAACATCAAACCCGAATGTCATACTTGTAAACACATTTGTGTACCGGGGTGGTCCCGATCCCGTCATTGTGCGAAGAGTCGATGATACAATACTTTAGTGCGTGCCATACAAATGGGTCAGGCTTCCATGATGTGAGCTATGGCAACTAGGATCACGTGTGCATGATACGCTGCTAGTGTTGCCGCTGATGGCGGTGTTGTCTTCTGGTCCAGTAGCTCAGGAGATCCCTAGATCTTACACGCTTCAGTTCTACCTGTTAAGTCTGTTTATCAATAAAGTGATAAACACCTCGCATCATCTCTGTTCGTCTTCTACCTTCATGAGGGTGATATAGAGATGGCTTCCGAACATTCGATCGCGGCGCCCCGACTTTGCCGCTTCTGTTCTCCCCGATTAATTTTCTTGATGTTCGTTTACCCACCCAGCTTCCTTCCATTGAAACGAGCATACTCCGGTCACCGCTATCATCTTCATTACACGCGCCTGCCAGGGGACCTCCATGTGCTGTCTGTTTCTGTTCAATTGATACATTATATATGTCACAAGTGAATGCGTTCCAGTAATACCAAAACTGTACCTCCGTACAGCATACATTGCACATCTGTACGTTGTCAGTGCTTCAATGTCACACGAGAAATCTGACAAAACGATTGCTCTGTGGATGCGTTTCCAGTCACTAAGACTAGTTGTCCCATTTGTGAAATCTACGCTAGTCGTGACAACTCGATGTGCGATCAAAAATGATTAGACGGTCAGTGTTCTGACGAGGTCAAAGGAGCCCGTGTGCTACATTCAACAAAATCTGATCTAATCGTGTTGGATACCCACTTTGGAGGTTGGAACACGGCATTCATGTTGACTTATCAACCGTTGCAAACTGCTCTGCTGGGTCTTTGAGTTCACCACGCGTATGCGTGAACAATGTATGCATCCGTAAACATTCCGATGTGAATTCGACCCAATTTGTCCGGGAACCAGCCGTTCCTAATAGCCGAACATCACATCACTTGGACGGATGTGTCACGTGCAGGACACGGACCAAACGAAGGCATGTCCTGATTGGTCAGAATGCCAGTCAATCCGAGTCGAGTCTTTGACTCGACGCTTCTTGTCCCCTCACGGAGATTCTCGCACGACCTTGTGGAACACTCTGTGACTACCCTATAAATATAGTTGCAATAATTTTCCTTTGTCTCCATAAAGGGTTGTGTTGAGCTACCGTGCCTTTGATATACCATAGTGGGCGGAGCAGGAAGCCAAGGGACTACCGTTCAGCAATTTACGACAAAGTTGGTTTTCACGAGAGACTTACTTAGAATCCAGCTGAATCTCTTGCGCATGATATTCTTCAATTGAATGTGCTACACAAGGCTACCTAATATTACCGTTGGTACAACATTCGAGATGTCGCAATACATTGTGTAGACCTATTGCACTACTCATATGAAAGAAGAGAAAGCGTTCAGCTGTAGCACCCTTTCGGTGCCTAGCTGCCATGCCACCCGAAGCTTGCACGAGGGCTGGGATACTGCTAGGTTGCCCAAGCCTAGACAGGGGAAGTCGGGGGGCAGAGGTCGGGTTCGAACCACGGACCTTCCGGTCAGCAAATTCTCGCTCTAACCACTTGGGCCATCTCGCCCTCCGCCCACACTACTCATATGGTCGCTGAAATCTCTTCCTCGGCGTAAGACCACCAGAACAGTCTAGATGTTCTGGGAGTGAGTCGTATCACATATTCCAGTCTCAATCTGAAGGCCCATATCCATTGACCAACTTCATGTGAGAGGCTCTGTGAGTGTCACATGTACACTCCCCGTGTAGTTCAGTGTGCAGAAACCTCGATAACGTCAAGCTGGTTCGCGACATCCGACTAGTCGAAACATTTGATTTACATCTTGTTTATCCTTATGCACCAGTATAACGACCGTTGTCTGGTAGATTGCCGGACCGGTGCCCAAACCTGTTATAGAAACGTTGTTCGGTTTGTCTCTCCCTTGAGTGGGGTGCTGGCTTGCCCTTTTGTTCCTGTCATCAGTTTGCACGTAACATGTCACCGTACAAGAGACTCATCCCTCGTATCAACCACGCACACTACAAATATTCACTTCGTCATTATCAGTTCAAATCACACACACTGGGCCGTTTGTTTTTCACCCGATCTACGTGTTCACTCTGAGTAGTTTTTACCAGTTTAGTAGGCGAGTGACCCAACTATGAGCATCCAACGTCTGAAGCCGCTCATTAGCATTGGTACAGTGTTTGCGTATGATCATATCATGTTGGCCATTCCGTTCGGCTGCACCGATCGATCTACTCAGAGTTGCATCTGTTCTACCATGGCTTGTCACACATATTCATGCAGGAATGGTGCGTTGGTATTAATGTGAGAAATGACACTAATCGGAGTCTGTCGGAAAATCTTTCAATCAGGCATTTTGACATGCTTGATTTCATTGATTGTCATTTAGTGATCAATTGTGTGACTTGGTAACTACCAGTGCCTTTCAAGTTCAGTTGATTAACGCCTAACCTGATATGGGGAGTTATTTCAAGCGCGTATGCGGGTTCCGGACACACTTGTGGGCGGGCAGTTTGAAGTGAAAAAATGCAATTAACCTCCAAACAAAGGCAACCATAGTTGAGAACTGAGCCGTAAAGACTTTCCTCCCTCGCCATTGTTGACACTACTGACAATGGAGGTTTTTTGTCATGAAAAGCTCTTTTGTAAAAAGAACTAACAGGGCGAATGGAAGAGACGTTGCTTATACATTGTGAAACACTCAGGCAGTGCGGATAGCAAATAACATCGATCAACGATCATATTATCTACATATTATCTACATATATATTATGTACATATATCTACATATATATGTTATCTATATATTATCTACACCGCCTCCACCTGAGCACATGGATTGGCAGAACAAATCCATTTAACCCGGGAACCGTGTCGAACTCACCTGAATTCCCCTTGTTAGTTCCTGTCAGTTCGCACCACTCGAATGAGATGTCGGAGACTGTGATCCTCTCCGTAGCTGACAGGTAGGCGTTCCTGATTCCCCCAAGAGTTTCCACTAAAACACGCACAATTCCTCAAGTGTATTCACTCCCGAAGCACGTCGAAAACTGTCTACGGGCATAACCCAATTGACTCTGGGTGGTGGACGCGCCACTGGCTTCTGACGCAGGGTGGATGCCGCAATCGTTCAGCTGTAGCACCCTTTCGGTGCCTAGTTGCCATGGTACTAGAAGAAAGCACGAAGGCTGGGGTGATGCCAGGTCGACCAAGCCTAGACAGGGGAAGTCGAGTGGCAGAAGTCGGGTTCGAACCACAGACCTTCCGGTCAGTAAATTCGCGCTCTAACCACTTGAGCCATCTCGCCCGCAATGTGATCAGCTGTCACACTACTGACCAGTCGGAGCTCGTGTTGATGCTGCTTACCTATGTGTAGGATTGATTGGCCCTTTTCAGTGTTCAGATGCGTTCGGTTATACGGCTTTCGGGGTTCCACCCTACACAACTAGCGGGATTTCTAACCTAACTGACTTACTGCTTCCCAATTCCGTCCGCCGTAATGCCACTAGATGATTTCGTGGTTCGGTTTGGATATTTCAACCTTTGATCATCTTCCTTGGTTGATCTGGTCCGAACGAACAGAAATATGAGATCAAGACAATTTTCCGTGCACCACACTAAGGATTCCCCCGTGATTCGGAAATAAACTGGGTTCCCGGAAAAAGTTTACGGTGCCCTTGTGGCACACTACTCGCTCTGGCGAAGTTTAACTTCGATCGTGTCTCTTGCCTGATAATTTCACGATTATCCCACTATATACTCGACCCGAACTTCACACGGAAAGTGTGACGAATAACCGAGCTGGTCAGTAGAAGTATTGCCTAGTGTTTGCAAACGGATGGGTCTACCACCTATGTTCTTCTCATACTTATCGCGCCGTGTTGTCACCTTAAGAGTGCACTAATAGGTGATTTCGAGGGATACCAGTACAGTCTTGTAGTAGAAAAATTGTTTGGGCCGAAACTCGGAGAATTTGAGGGTTTGGTGGACCGCTTCACTAGCAATTTTGTTATTTATAGATTTCACTTGCTATACAGTGTTGTCAGAATCTCTGGGAATCAATCCTAACCTCACTATTTCAGCGTTCACGACACCACCGTCGACCAGCAGCTCCATTTGGCCGGCGAATGCAACAGTGAAGCGTCCCAGTGCTGGAAGTCGCTGGTCAGCGTCATTTCCGACACACAAAGTATGAAACCCAACAACGATATGTACCATCTCCTTCTTAGTCTGGATTCTCTTCACAGATATCCAGTGCAATTGATCCGTGTGGTGCGCCACTTTATTTGTGCAGCGTATTTGCTTGAACGAAGCGGAGATTTTGAACGCGCCGCGAAAATTCTCGCAGAAGCCTCTGGTCAGATAGACCACATCAATCGGAGAATGCGGCGTGTGGAAATGAAACTGATCAAGCGACGCATTCGGCCTCAAAAGCCTATCGATCATCAGCCAGCTGGTACAAGTGACCCTTCTGCTCGGGCCAGACGTGATGCGGGATGGATGCATTTGTGGTACTATGTTCTCAGTCGTATTCGCTCCATCCTCAATTTCAGAGAATATCGACTACGGATTCAGCTAGCGGGAACTCTACACACTGAGGTAAGTGTAACTCTTTTTTGTGAATGTGTTGTGGTCACTTCCCAAACCTACCGATAGCAATCCGAATTCCGCCTTGTTTAAGTTCACCCCTCCGGTGCCTAGCTGCCATGCCACACGAGGGTTGGTGGACTGCCGAGTTGCCCAAGCCTAGATAGAGGAAGTCGAGAGACAGAGGTCGGGTTCGAACAATGGACCGGATGGTCAGTAAATTCGCGCTCTAGCCACTTGAGCCATCTCGCCTTGTTTAAGGGACACGAATCGACAACAGATTTGTTTTTCATTTAGTCTGAAAAAACTGCGACATTGGGATACTATACTAGTGTATTTGACCTTCGTATGCCTAGAGGAACTCCGAGGAATACGGCTTCCAGTGGCATCTCTTTCTGTAGTTCCCAGCGGAATCGCTCTTAAAGCAATTTCTTTTCTCGGAACCATATAGTCGCAGTGGGAATTCCGTACGGAAAATAGAACCCTGGTCATCAAACTACACTCACAGCAACCCGATTCGTACAAACCCCTATTCGATTTCAGTTCTACCGCTGCAAGATTGTTGCCCATAGACCCCATCGCAGCGTGTGGTCGAGTCTACCCGAGTCCATATTGCAAACGGAGCAAAAACGAAATCTAACACCATTTTCATCAGTGAAGCTATCTCCTCCAATTTGCACGATAATCCCCATCCAAACACATTCATCATTCCCTGCAGAGTGCTCAGATTTGTCAGTATTCTGTATTGTGTGTGTGTGTGTGTTGAAGTCGAAATAGCGTATGGTAACCGCGTGAAGTTGAGCCTCAATTTTCCTCTGTAAGTCGTTCAGCTGTAGCATCCTTCCGGTGCCTAGCTGCCATGCCACCTGAAGGAAGCACGAGGGCTGGGATACTGCCAGGTTGCCCAAGCCTAGACAGGATAGGTCGAGAGGCACAGGTCGGGTTCGAACCACGGACCTTCCGGTCAGTAAATTCGCGCTCTAACCACTTGGACCATCTCGCCCCAAAAGCCGCGGTCTGCCATGATGCACGAGCGGTAAGCCTGACTTCGAAAGAGCTTTCCATCTGAGATATCGCAGTATATTTTCATAAAGGAAACTACTCACAAGGTTGCTGAAAACTGTTCGACAGCCCACGACCGGTTTCGCCCTTTTGAGGCTCATCAGGTAGGCGCACTCCCCGGGTTTCCGTTGGCCTTATGTTCCACTTGAACCAAAATTGGACTGTTTTCGAGAAATACACTCATTTGCAAATCAATTTGGTTTTCACGGGAGAATCAACTGAATCATAAACGACAGATTCAGTTGAGTCACTCGTGAAAACCAAATTGATTCGCGAATGATTGTACTTCTCAAAAACAGTTCAATTTGGGTTCAAGTAGAACATAAGGTTGACGGAAACTCAGGGACTGCGCCTACCTGATGAGCCCCAAGAGCCGGTCGTGGGCTGTCGAACAGTTTTCAGCAACCTTGTGAGTAGTTTCCTTTATGAAAATATACTGCGATATCTCGAATATCGTGCCAACTGAAATATGAGGTGGCCTGTGTGTAGCACATTCAGTTGTAGAATACCATAAACGAGAGATTTAGCTCTCTCGTGAAAACCAAACTGATTTCCAAATGAGTGTATTTCTCGAAAACGTTCCATCTGGTTTCAATCACAAACATGTATTCAAAATGATGCGCCTTCTAGCTAGACAACAGTTTGTTATACTAATCGTCAAACTTGTTCGAAAGGGAATCGAACGACATCTTTGACACCGGAGCACTAACTAGCACAACTGAATGTCTCAGAATAACATCCTTAACACGTGAATTTATCGCAGTCGCTACTCCTAATCTGTCAGCGAGACTGGATCGTACACTTTATGGAGAGAAGAGGACCCTCTGGACTCTGATTTCATGTTTCAGTGAACTTCGCTCATCGATTTTCTTACTGTACCGATTGTTCCAAAGTTGTTGTTTTTTCACAATCAGCAGTGACTGTTGGAATACATCAACCAACTCAAAAGCATGCACTGCTAGTATAGTCTCTATCGATCAACCAACTCAAAAGCATGCACTGCTAGTCTCTATCGGCAAGTTGACATTTCGGCATGATGAACGTATGCACTGATCATTAGTGCTCAGGGCTTTGCTATTGATTTGCATGCTACGCTGACTGATCGAATCTTTCATGACTGAATGGCCGACTCACATGTTTGACCAAGTCTGTTGAAGCATGCAACTTGACGCCAGCGCACCAAGTGGTGCAGACTGATGACGCCGGTAGACCATCGCGGTCCTCTAAAGCAAAAACGGCCAGTATAGTCCATCTCGTTCACCATCTTGGACCTGGAGCAAGGTGTCCACAACTAGTCAGCTTGCTACCGCCTTAGTTCACAGTTGATTTGTGGAACTTCAAGGTTCGCCTTTTTGACCACCTCTGTTCCGAACGCTGTCCACAAAGTCAGAAAAATTTGGGGGGCAAAGCAAACTGAAGCTGTAGTCATCACGAACTGATCTGTATCAACCATAAGCGTTATTTACCCCCTTTTTACGATACCAAATCGAATCAGTTTGCCCCAAACGATGAAAATCACCAAACCTGATAGTTGGTTGCATTTGCTTTGGTTGCGTTCACTGGTTATCCAACAATGACTTCTCAATAGCACCACAGTGTTGATGCGCTCCATGGTAGTAAGACAGTTGTGGCAACGAGTACTCTAGGATTCTATGGATGATCAGTGACCCACGCTGAAGGTTTTCCTTTTTTTCCTGCCAAACTATCTTATTTACATTTCTTGTATAGGCAACTTTTGTGGTCGTCTCTGTCGTTGTTTTCAGCTCCATCGTTCTGTTTGTAGGCCTCCCTACCTCCCTTCTTAATTTCCGATCCACTGATCTGCTGTAGCCAAGCATTCTGTGTACTGAATGGTCCCTTACGCTGATTTTTCCATCTACAGTTGTATCGAAAGGGTCAAACAAATTGAAATGCGGTCAAATTTTCTGGGAGCGAATGAATCGTTCCCCGTCTGCAGACTTTTCTTGAGTTATTTGTTCTGGCGCGTTCTAGATCGGGCCCTTATTCACAAAAAGCGATATTCGTCGTGGTCCACATGACCCGTCCATCTGTTGTTCACTTTTTCTTTGGATTCACATTTCTTATACTGACCTATTCGCTACTGGTATGAGACTTTTAAGTGTCTGCACAAAGTTCGCTCCTCTATAGCTCTTCACATCCTTGGATTCTCAGGGTCGTTTTAGATAGTGTCGTTATTTGGACGGTCCTAGCAATCTAATAAACCGAACTTAGGTCAATCCAAGCTCAGGATAGGTCAGTGGCGTGAACTTGCCGATCACAAGGTCCGTGGTTCTAACCCAACTTCCACCTCTCAACTGCTCCTATGTAGGCTTGGGCATCCCACCGGTATCTCGTCCCTTGTGTTTCCTCCGAAGGACGAGATGGCTGAAGTGGTTAGGGCGCGAATTTACTGACCGTCGAGTCCATGGTTCGAACCCGACCTCTGTCTCTCGACTTCCCGTGTCTAGGCTTGGGCAACCGGGCAGTATCTCAGCCCTCGTGCCTACTTCGGGTAGCATGGCAGCTAGGCACCGGAAGGTGTTACAGTTGAAACATACACATTTATTTCATTGTAGGCCGATGCACAAAGTTTGTCGGCAGTCCTCTTACTCACCAATTATCATTTTCACTGTTCCTTGTACTCGGAATTACATGCATCAGACCGGTGAAGATTCCTCGTAACGAAACTCTACGTTACATCCAAGGTAGGGTATCCTTGTAGAGCGCGAAGTACTTTCAGATATTTGTGAGCCTGTCAGCCACAGCTATTGCATATAAGACAAAACTCAAATGCACAGGCAATCATACAGAGAAGTTCCTATAAGTAAATGGAAAACTTTGAAGGAGTAAAGCTCACGCACGGAGGCGAGATGGCCCAAGTGGTTAGAGCGCGAATTTACTGACCGTCCGGTCCATGGTTCGAACCCGACCTCTGCCTCCCGACCTACCCTGTCTAGGATTGGGCAACCTGGCAGTATCCCAGTCCTCGTGCAACCTTCGGGTGGGTGGAAGTTAGGCACCAAAAAGTTGCTACACCTGTACGGCACGGATTTGCAAGTTAAGTTGTTGTGGACTGTACTAAATCTCACCTGAATTTCTAGTTTATGCTACGCATTTAACCAAGTTTGTTGCGCAAAAAGCCGGTGTTTGAAATATTTCTTCTTGCCAGAACACTGACCCTAAGGTTGACAAAAAATCTCTGGCAACTCATCCAGTTTCGCGTAGTTTTCGAGTTCCCCTCAATCTCAGTTCCTACGTGAAGGTCAAGCCACACGTGACTTGATTTACAAAAATTAAATGGAAGACCCGTACGGTTGCAACTGTTCTTTTGTGGGCTATCACAAGTGTCTGTGTACACATCCCAAACATCCAGCTATCTGTCTCCTACCTCCTCCTTCTCCAACGTTGTCCTCTTTGTTAGGTCGAGGATGATATGGCTGCCTTACAGCTTCCCGCCGAGGATTCCCAGATCCAAAACAACAAGCCAATCCCAGGTAAGACTTTGATGGTCCTGTGCTGTGCGGGTTTACATCCCAGTTGTCGCCCGCATGTTCTTTTCCTCGATAGTACACTATCAGTTAACTGGAATCGGGTGATTTGGCCATCTCCCATGGTACATTGATTAGTCTGACTCTGGCCAAATTTCCGCATACAGTGTGCTTGAGTCCACGGTATGATGCAATCGCTCCACGTGGAACCATCTACAGTGGATACCAGGTAGTCTCATCAACGGGTACGCTTCTTTGTGGAGTCAATACAGTTACCGAAAATCCAATTGTTTGTGGCTGTTTTTAACACCTTTTGTCAATATATAATATAATAATATACATATATATTGTATAATATATATATATAATATATAATATACAATAGTATAATTTCCTTCGACAA